GCCACCACCAGCACAACTCCAAGCTCCTCCAATTGCGCACCTTCACGACAACCATCGGGCCTAGCAACCATGCCTGCACAAAAGACGATCACCAAGCCCGAGGAGGTCGGCGAGTCCTCAACTTCTGCGGCCAAGAAGGCTCTGACCGCAGCTTCAAACGGCGCTCCCAACTATGAGCTTCCTTGGTAGGATTCCATTGTCAATGGCAACGAAGCCACATGCTGATGCATTTCTCAGGGTCGAGAAGTACCGTCCCGTTTTTCTCGACGATGTTGTCGGAAACACCGAAACGATCGATCGCCTCAAAATCATTGCGAAGGAAGGAAACATGCCGCACGTCATCATCTCGGGTATGCCTGGTATTGGAAAGACGACAAGTGTGCTCTGTCTGGCAAGACAGTTGCTAGGAGACTCATACAAGGAGGCGGTCCTGGAGCTAAACGCTTCTGATGAAAGAGGTACGATTGGTTTGGTGCTCTACAGATGCAACCACTGACATGTTTCCGCAGGTATCGACGTTGTCCGTAACCGCATCAAGGGTTTCGCCCAAAAGAAGGTCACTCTTCCCCAAGGCCGCCACAAGCTTGTCATCCTCGACGAAGCCGACAGCATGACATCGGGCGCGCAGCAAGCCCTTCGCCGCACGATGGAGATCTATTCCAACACAACCCGCTTCGCCTTCGCCTGTAACCAGTCCAACAAAATCATCGAACCTCTCCAGTCTCGTTGCGCAATCTTGCGTTACGCCCGCCTCACCGACGAGCAGGTCGTCAAGCGTTTGCTGCAAATCATCGAGGCTGAAAAGGTCGAGTATAGCGATGACGGCCTCGCTGCGCTCGTTTTCAGTGCCGAGGGCGACATGCGACAGGCCATCAACAACCTGCAGTCAACCTTTGCCGGTTTCGGCTTCGTTTCCGGTGACAACGTCTTCAAGGTCGTGGACTCGCCGCACCCGATCAAGGTGCAGGCCATGCTCAAGGCTTGCTACGAGGGCAATGTCGACTCGGCTTTGGACAGTCTGAGGGAGCTTTGGGATCTGGGATACTCGAGCCACGACATTATCAGCACCATGTTCAAGGTCACCAAGACTATCCCCACTCTAAGCGAGCATTCGAAGCTGGAATTCATCAAGGAGATTGGATTTACGCATATGAAGATCTTGGAAGGAGTGCAGACGCTGCTGCAGCTGAGCGGCTGCGTGGCGAGACTGTGCAAGATCAACATGGACCCCAAGAAGTTTGAGGCGCCGTCAAAATGAAACGGATAATCAGCAAACCTGCGCAAGCAGGAACTAATGACTTGCATGATTTGGCGTTTGGGGATTTATGTCCGCGATACTTTGACAGTAAAAGCCATGGATTCAATATCCGGTGTTACACAGTAAAATGAAAGGATCTTAGAACATCTCTTGATATCCATCGATGGCCCAGGGCCTCGACTGTGAGGCCGCTTACTTCTTTTCCTCAGGGTTCTCGAGAAACTCCTGCTCAAACCTCTCCCACTTGGCTCTGTCCCTCATCAGACGCCTCTGCATTCTGATCCTGGCCTCATACTCTCGTAACCTATGATCGGCTTCCAGCATACTTCCTAACACCATGGCGGACATTTGTATGTAGCTGCCACCCACGTTAGTTTCCGAGTAGTATCAGCAGTGTCGCGTGACGCGTTACCATTTAAACTGGATAGTGAGACCTTTATACAATGGCGAGAACTTCCATGCAGCTGCACCCAACACCGCAGCGCCGATGCCCCATCTTGCGGCGCCGACGACGGCACCCCGGGTAGCTTCCCACGCGGCGTCATTGGCCTCGGCGCTCTTCATCTGGTCGTGCGATTTCATCTTGTGCGCATTGCGGCCGGGGCAGGCTGCGGAGAAGAGAGGGTGATGACGTCGGTGACGAGGTCCTCTAATCCGATAATGAGCCGATGAATTCGTGTGAATCGAGGTGCGCGCAGTCGGTAGCACAGAGCTCTGAGAGAGAACCGCGAATTGTCGAGGAGGAAAGAAGTGAGATTCCCAAAATATGATTGGTGAGAATCGTACGATAGCTCTCACCCACAATGCTCACAATGTCGAAAGACCTTTTTACTCCATCAGTCCCCGAAGGTAGACAAGCTGAACGGCGAAGTGGGACGAGAGCAGACGCCGAAGCGCAACCCCTGCAACGTCCATCAGCGCGTCCCAATCTCCTGAGGCGGGTTCTATTCAGTGGGGGTTGCGTTCACTGAGTGACCCCGCCGATGCCGCTGACCCCAAGTCTGCAGGGGCCCTTGGCGCTATCAAAAGCTTATCAACTCCAACACTTTCCATGCCACCTCCTGAGTCGTCTCCAATGGCGCAAGACGAGTCTATTGCCGATGCTGAGAAGGAGGTGCTGGAGTTGGAAGCGCGTCTGGCCGCGGCGAGGGGAAAGTTGAAGATTCTCGGTGGACAGAATGAGGGTCACTCATTACCATCGAGAAGTCTCCCGAAACCATCATGTCAGCCACCCATCTCGCAACATCTCAAGAAGTTCTCACAACTAACACACCCAAAGCCTCACTCACAACATCAAATCACTATCACCTCCTTCTCTCAGACTCGGCTCTACCACTAGGCTCGTTCGCCTTCAGCAGCGGTCTCGAGTCCTACTTAGCGCACACTCGAGGCCGCTCCTCCTTCAACATCTTCCTCCCAGAATCCATTTCGGCTTACGCCTCGACAACGCTCCCCTTCGTCCTCGCAGCGCATCGCGATCCTTCTACGGTCGCGGAGCTGGACGACTTTCTCGACGCAGCAATCATCTGCACCGTCGGCCGCCGCGCCTCGATAGCGCAAGGCCGCGCGCTGCTGTCCATCTGGGAACGCTCCTTCGCCTCGTCTCTGCCCCGCGATGTAGTCGAGACATTACAGCCGTACGCGGCCATGTTAAAGTCTGCGTCGTCTAGACCGAGCGCCGATGAGTCTGACGACCCGCCATTGGTGTTCGCGCACCTGGCGCCCCTTTTCGGGGCCATCTGCAACTTGGTGGGGCTCACCCTGCATCAGACGGCGTATGTCTTCATGATGGGCCACATCAAGGCTCTGGTATCGGCGGCCGTGAGAGCGAGCATGTTCGGGCCATACCAGGCGCAGAAGGTCCTTGCTAGTGGACAGGTCCAACAAATCATCACTGCCGCTATCGAGAGGGAGTGGGAGACACCAGTAGAGCGAGCCGGGCAGACGATGCCCGTCATGGATTTATGGATAGGCAGACACGAAGTTCTGTATTCACGAATATTCAACAGCTGAATTCTTTCAGGTCGCAAGCCTGTGTCCCTCGATGTTCCATTATCAACGGGTATCATGATCGCTTTTGTCAATTATTGTACAATGCCCCTGGTTCCCACCATGCTCACTCATCATCGTCGTCGCTGTCGTACGCGACTAACGGTCCCGCAGACGCGGCGGGTTTCGGCTTCGATGCCACCGCTACCTTGGCGGTGTTTAAGGCTGCCAAGGTGCTGCTAGAGAAGATGCCACCAGACAAGACGGACTGCTCCTGCGGCGCAGGCAGGGCGTACTGTGCCTGGTTCGCCGCATCGCCATTCTCAAGCATAGGCCGCTCCTGGTATTCTACCTCAAAGCCCTCCCGCCCGACGGGGTTCACAGCATTCGCGCCGCGGGCGAAGTGGACCTCGTCCGGCGCCTCGTAGCCCTCGAGCCCGTAGCTGCTCTCAATCTTTCTCCTTTTCCTGGCTTCCGGGTCTTTGCCCTCAATCTCTGCGACGAACTCCGCTGGCAGTGCCCTGCGGATGGCCTCGGCGGCTTGCTCCTCGATTCGCCTCGCCTCGCGCGCCTGGGCCATGGGGTTCGGGTCGGCTGTCGCCCAGCGGACGTTGAGAATCTCTTCGTGGTCCAACGACTGGTGTGCCATTGCCTCCTTGGCAAATTGCGCATTTGCCTCGTTGGTGTATGTGATGAAAGCAACTCCGCGTGTATTGAGCACACGAACTATATAGATGTTAGCAGTAGCTCAGAGAAGGAAAGGGGGTTAGTAAACATACTTCGCTCAATTTGCCCCCATTCTGCAAAATGACGCGCCACAATTTCTTCGATATCATCCGTAACATGTATCCTTCCCACATAGACGGTTCGGTTCTGCCTCATGAAGCTGCCAACACCGCCCATGTCATCTCTGTAGTCGGAATGCTTGTCTCGCCCAAAGCAGTCCACGTTCGGGTTGAAGAGGTCGTGGATACCCGGCAGCCGGTGCAAGTATTCGCAGTCCTGGCCCTTAGGACAGATTCCCCTTGCGAAGAAAAGACAGAAGTAGCTGCCCGTGACCTTGTCGGCCCTCGTGTAGCCGCTGTCTTTGGCAACATTACAGCGTCCCTTTGCGTGCGTCTTGGACAGGTACTTGTCCTCGCGGTCACCGCCGGACCACTTGTTGTACCAGATGTTGAAGATCGTTCCGGTTTGCGGCGGAGGCTCGGAGGTGATGAAGGACGGGTCGACCTGCGGACGCGCCGGGCGCTTCTTCTTGCGGATGATCTTCTTGACTTTCCTCTCTGCCGGCGCGGCGACTTCGGTGTTGGTCGTCGTCAGCGCCGTTTCTTGCGCCTCGGGCGCATCGACATCTTCGGTTCTGGCGATAGCGACTTCTTCGTCTGACATGATTGTGTTTTATACTCGAACTCGTGGAATCGCGGTTTGTGATGAACAAAACGTCGAGAAAATGTTGTCGCAAGACGAATTTCTACGTTCGCCGCGCGACGCATTAGGTAAGCCTCACCGCGTTCTTCAATGTGTGGCGCAGTAGCTGTGGTTAAGGGCGGTGAGTGGGACCCATGCCGGTGGAAGCAGCCCCGCGGTAAATTCTGCCACGGCCATCGTCTTCCCACGCCGGAGTGTGGCTGCCCCACCTTGGAACCTGTGAAGCCTTCATCGACCCGGCGTAGACGCTCTCTTCGTGTCATCTTTGAATCATTTTAGACGGGGTTTTCGGAGTCGTTAGACTCTGAACAGATAAGCCGCCAAGATGGTCAACATTACGGAAAAGATCAAGGAGTATGGCCCCCATGCTGAATCAGTACGAGCAGGAAAACTGACGTTGAGGGACCAGGATTGAAGATGAGATGAGAAAGACGCAGAGTAAGAGCACACTCACTCAATGATGGGGTTTTATTTTCGGCAAATTTTCATCTCCATCCGAGCAACCTATGGTCGAGTAGGTCGTTCGAGGCACTGCCTGAAGCAGTAGCGCATAGGGATGGTTCTCGGAGGGGTTGAAAGTGCTGAAAAGACGAACCAGGTGTTGTGCATTATTCAACCAAGACATTTACTGACGTTTTCTAGAGAACAAGGCCACTGGTATGTTTGTGATGAATATCGCATTGTCTGAAAACTGTTAACCGACCCCTTTCAGAATACCATCTGGGTCTTCTCAAGGGGTAAGTTGCCTCACAACTCTTTCGAAATCATACCACTAACGGTGGGCAGTAAACTCGCGCGTCTAAGGGCACAGCTATTGGAACCCGGTCCAGGTTCAGGCGGTGGTGGCGGTGCCGGCTTCGACGTCAGCAAAAGTGGTGATGCAAGAATAGCCCTCGTCGGCTTCCCCTCCGTCGGAAAATCCACATTCTTATCCAAGGTCACCAAAACGAGGTCCGAAGTCGCATCTTATGCCTTCACAACACTCACAGCCATCCCCGGTGTCCTCGAGTACGGCGGCGCCGAGATCCAGCTGCTCGATCTGCCCGGTATCATCGAGGGTGCCGCCGAGGGCAAGGGTAGAGGAAGACAGGTCATCTCCGCGGCCAAGACCAGCGACATGATTCTCATGGTGCTGGACGCGACCAAGAAGGCGGAGCAAAGGGCTCTGCTCGAGGCTGAACTGGAAGCCGTCGGCATCCGTTTGAACAGAGAACCACCGTAAGAGTCCCCCCTTCACGAACTTCTTCCAAGCTAACCCGCCGCAGCAACATCTACCTCAAAGCAAAGAAGGCCGGCGGCATGAAAATCACCTTCCAATCTCCACCAAAGGCCATGGACGAGAAAATGATCTTCAACATCCTGCGCGACTACAAGATCCTCAACTGCGAAGTTCTCGTGCGCGACGAGAACGCTACCGTCGACGACCTCATCGACGTCATCATGAAGGACCACCGCAAGTACATCAAGTGCCTGTACGTCTACAACAAGATCGACAGCGTCTCGCTCGACTTCCTCGACAAGCTCGCGCGCGAGCCCCACACCGTCGTCATGAGTTGCGAGCTCGACCTCGGCATCCAGGACGTCGTCGACCGCTGCTGGCAGGAGCTCAAGCTCATCCGCATCTACACGAAGCGCAAGGGCATCGACCCGGACTTCGGCGAGGCGCTGATTGTGCGCAGCAACAGCACCATCGAGGACGTGTGCGACCGTATCCACCGGACGCTCAAGGAAACCTTCAAGTATGCGCTAGTCTGGGGCGCGAGTGCGAGACATGTGCCGCAGAGGGTGGGTTTGGGACATGCCGTGGCGGACGAGGATGTGGTTTACATTGTGAGCGCTTGGAAGGCGTAGACAACATGACACAAGAGCATACGAATGGGACGAAGTGGTTTAGTGCGTGAGGAGTTGTATTTCCTGCCCAGGCGAAGCCGCATAAGGCCAGCCGATGAATACAGTCCCTCCCAGAATTCTAGCCATTAAAAGAACTAGAGGAGAGACAGAGAAAGAAAGAAAAAGCTGATATCGTTTCGTGTCATGTCATGGTACAGTCCCTTTATCCTAAAGCAAGACAGTGGTACCCCCGTTGAACGCCGATGCCCCAGGCCCCTCTGAAAACAACAAGAGGAGGCCGCAGGTTCAATAACCTGCCAGAAAGAACCGTGAAAACAACCCGAGAGAACCCATCCCATCATCAAAAGCTTTTGTACTTTGGTAAAGAAGATGCGACGAGTCGATTTCAAAAGGCGTTCTCCTTGGGTGAAGCGGTTTTGGAGCTGAAGAGGTTGCTGCCACCAACCTTCTTGGCGGACGCCTGGGCAAAGAGAGACTTGGGCTTGACCCTGTGATGAAGCGATTAGCATCGCTGCTGGATCGAATGCTTGGTGAAGAAGAAGAGCGACTTACTTGCCAACCTGCTTGTTGCGGAGGGCGTTGAGCTTGGCGGTGCAGGGGCTCATGATGTTGTCAGAAGGGGAGATGTAGTCCTTGGAGCTGTTGTCGCAGTGGTCAGCACTGCAGTCTGGTGTTGTTGAGGTCGAGGGCTGTCCTACTTCTCCTGGGCCATCTTGTCCTGCAGGACCTGACGGTGGTACTCCATGCTCTTAACCTCCTTGGTGGCCGAGTCGGTCTTAGCGACAATGGGCGTGTTGGTGGACTTCTCGGTAAGAACGTTGGGAGACATGGCTGCTGATAGACTGTCTGTTGATTTTCTAGAAGGTTGATGTATGCGCGGTGCAGCAAGTTGCAGAATTGTAGGTGGTATTGGCGATGCGATGCGATTGATTTGTGTGTGGCAGGTAGAAAGAGGCGCAAGACCGTATGTAGGGAGATGTGGATTTGCTTGGGGTGTGGATGGGAAATCGGGGCCAATGCAGAATGGGAAGAAAGGCTTTGTATTTGAATGCGAGTGGTTATGCGCTGCGCACCAGGTCTGCCGTGGAGTGTTTATGACGTTCGTGAATGGACGTGAAAAAGATGCACGCCTGGCCCGTGGAGTAGTTGCTGGGCTGTAGAAGTAAACGAATTTTCGGGCAGTTGACGGGGCAACCAGGGAAACGAAACGGTCGTGCTGGTATGTCGCCGGTCGTGGTGGACAGGGGTTCAGGGGGTTAAAGTGGAAGGAGTTTTGCTGGGTGGGCACCTACGGAATGCGGGTCTCACTGGGCTTACCGGGAAGGGGGAGGGAAGTTCTTAGCGTTGTCAGGCCTTCTGCGGAAGGATGCCCAAGGTTAGTTGTCCGTGTGATGGTGCGCTGTCAGGTTTTTCGCCGGTTCTAGCGGGCTTCCCAGGTAACCCCGTCACCCCCCTGGGCCCTCCCGGCGCGCGTTGCTACCCGGATCCGACTCGACTTGTTCTCGATCACAGCCTGAGGTGTTCGTTCGGTGTTGTGTTGTGCATTGCATCTCGTCCCTCTGTGGAGTTGCCTTGACCCCTCCTCCATCTCCCGCTAGTGGAGATGCGAAAAGGTCAAGCATCCCGGGAAGGGTTGCATCTGTGTGTACATCGCAACCAGTCAGTGCTCCTGGCATGCGCTGGTCTCGAACTGTTGGGAGGACATCTCCAAGGTGACCGGCCTCGGAGCTTAATGCCGCATGGTTCATGATAAGCATCCCCAGAGTATGCATGGCCAGACAATGGGATCGACTGCGAGTGACTCACAGGAACGGCGGGCCAACGGCCAAAGGATCTACACGCGTTCCATTTCCAGTGGTACCTGTTTGTTGTACACAATATGCGATTCAAACTACATGGTAAAAGCAGGGGCTAGCAACCTATATTACAACTTGGAGCGGTTGATGTTGGCTCCGGGCTGGAACCTCTGGGTCTTGTATTGCGCCAGCAATTGGTCAGACTTCTGCTTCTGCCACTGGATCTTTTCCGTAACCTCCTTGCCCCGCTTGTTCTCGTTGCGGCCCATCTGCTGCAGATGCACCTCGTCGGGACCGTCAGCGAGACGGAGCGTCCTGATGTTGGCCCAGGAGCCGGCGAGGGGCGTGTCCTGGCAGACGCCGGCCGCACCGAAGGCCTGGATGGCACGGTCGATGACCGTCAGTGCCGTCTGCGGGACGAGGACCTTGGCTTCGGCAATTTCCTTGAGGGCCTTCTTCGGGCCGTGGTCGTCCATCTTAATGGCTGCGTTGAGGACAACCAGGCGCGCGGCGTCGATTTCGATGCGCGACTTGGCTACCCACTCCAGAATGACGCCGTGTTCCCTGAGCTGCTTGCCGAAGGGGGTCTTGGTAGGGTCGTTGATGCGCATCAGCATCCACTCGAGGGCGCGCTCGGCCTAGGAGGATGTGTCAGTCAACAATTACAGGTGTCGCTTTCTTCTGGACTTACGGCTCCAATGGTGCGCATAGCATGGTGAATACGGCCGGGTCCAAGTCTGCCCTGGATAATCTCAAAACCACGACCCTCGCCGAGGACGAGGTTGCTAGCGGGCACGCGAACATCCTTGAAGCTAATGTGGCCATGACCGTGAGGGGCATCATCGTAGCCGTAGACGTTCAGCATGCGGTGGATGGTAATGCCCTTGGTTTCCGCAGGGACCAAAATAACGGACTGCTGCTTGTAGGTGTCCTTGTTGTTGGGATCGCTCTTGCCCATGACGATGTAGATTGAGCATCTAGGGTCGCCGGCACCGCTAGACCACCATTTCTGCTGTTGTCAACACTCCACACCTCCGCGCGAGCATCTTCAAAGCTTACCGAACCGTTGAGGACGTATTCGTTGCCCTCCTTACGCATGCTAAGCTGGATGTTGGTAGCATCCGACGACGCGACATCAGGCTCCGTCATCAAGAACGCAGAGCGAATCTCGCCGTCCATCAGGGGCTTCAGCCACTTCTTCTTCTGTTCCTCGTTGCCGTACTTGGCCAGCACCTCCATGTTGCCGGTATCGGGCGCCGCGCAGTTGACAGCCTCGGAGGCGACCCTCGACTTGCCGAGCCATTCAGCCATCAGACCATACTCGAGGTTCGTGAAGCCGGGAGACTCCTTGTAGTGGCCCTTGGGCAGGAACATGTTCCACAGGCCGAGCTTCTTGGCCTTGACCTTGAGGTCGTCGACGATGGGCGGGTGGTGGTCCCATCTCGCGTCGCCCTGGCCGATCTGAGCTTCTAGGACGGGGTCGGCACTGTGTTCACCGGCGTGTCAGCATCGCGAAGGATAGGCCTGAGTTGTTATGGAGGTGCAATTGTGCTTACGGAATGCATTCCTCCTCGACGAACTTCGCGACGGCGTCGAGCGCCTCCTTGGCGCGGTCGCTGAGGCGATCCAGGACCTGGTGGCGAGCTGGTTAGCTAGCGAGACCGAGATCTCCCCGCAGCGAGCACCTACAATGGCTGGAACTCTGGACGTCATCTTTGCGACACTGGGAGACAGATAAACCGATGCAGATGGAACGAAACTTTCTCAGGGTGGTTTATCAGGATTGGTTGCGGAGGCCAGGAGTACAGGAAATTGCTACGGGACAATGATGGGCGTAACCTCCCTTTTGAACGGGAATCGTTTAGTATGCATCGTACGGTAGATGGATGTTAGGACGACCCGGAGCCGAGGTTGATTCTGGAGCTACAGGGACTCCAAAATGTGGGGATCCTGGGGTAACTGTCTTGACCTCCGCCTCCGCGTCTGAGAGTGGCCCCTCAGCGGTGGATGCCGCCAGATCTGTCTGCAATTGCTTGCCTTGGCTGTTAAGACACTCATTCAATTTGTCAATTCATGTTTGCGTGTCCGTTCGTCAAAGTAGCACATGCTAACATATCCTAACAACAAGAGTTTCATCTTCATTCTTGATCAGTGAGCAGACCGCAGCTAACTACCATCTATCATGCCCAATCCCGTCTCCAAGTCGAAGATTACTGACGAACGCCGTGGCTCGGCGCCCGGTTACCTCTAAACTCTCAGAGCCGCTGTGGCACCACTCTGGCGCATCAACCATGCGGGGAGGCGCCGGCTGTGCCGCGTCTCCAATAGGAGCCTCCATAGTCCACTCCGGTGCCTCGGTGCGGCTTTTGGCACCACTGGGTTTCCGGTGGGATACTCCTTCGGATTTCAATCCCGAACCAACGTCCCGAACCAACAGCCGTCAGATGAACTCATGCTTGTCGACGTTGACAGGCACTTCATGAAATTGAAACTTCGCTGTATTCCTCTAAATCAACATAAACCATCACACCGCATGATTTAATCTAACTTTTTGTGGCGCATGGACTCTACCATTTATCTATCGCCCGGTTTATGTATATAACGCCTTTCTATGTGCGGTAGTCGCCGTTGATAGTAATGTACTCATGGCTGTAGTCGCAAGTCCAGTACGTAGCCTCCTTGTTACCAGTGCCAAGTCTGACAAGGATCTCCAAGTCCTCAAGCTCCAGAATCTCAGAGGCTCTGGCCTCATCAACCATCTCGGGCTCGCCGTTGACCAGCAGCTTCAGCTCAGCGCTACCATCGGTGGGGATGAAAGAGACGTTGGTTTTCTCAGGAACGACCTCGGGGACATCAATGACAGCCTGACCAGGCTCGGAAACCAAAGAGTAACCAGTCGCGCACAGAATGCGGCCCCAGTTGGCGTCACGGCCGTAGAGAGCAGTCTTGACAAGGGGCGATCTGGCGATGGTGCTGGCAATCTTCCTGGCAGCCTCCTCACTGGCAGACTCGACGACGCGGATGGTGACGAACTTGGTAGCGCCCTCACCGTCACGAACGATGAGCTTGGCCAGGTCGATGGAGAAATCGGTCAGAACCTCCTTGAAGGCGGCGTAGTCGGGGGAATCCTGAGAGGTAATCTCCTTGCCGCCGGCAGCGCCGTTGGCGAGAAGGGCCATGGTGTCGTTGGTCGAGGTGTCTCCATCAATGGTGATGCTGTTGAAGGAGCGGTCGACGGCGTGCTTGAGGACGGAAGGCATGACGGCAGGAGAGATGGGAGCGTCCGTGGCGACAACACCCAGAAGGGTAGCCATGTTAGGGTGGATCATACCGGCGCCCTTGGTGGTTCCGGCAATACGGTACTCGACGCCAGGCGAAGAGGGCAGGGTGAAGGTCTTGGACATGAGCTTCGGGAAGGTGTCGGTAGTGCAAATGGCGGTAGCAAAGCTGAGCCAGTGCTTGTGTGAAGAGCCCAGAGCTCCCTGGGCAGTCGGGACGTTGTCGACAATCTTTGCGATGGGCAATCTCTGTCCGATAACGCCAGTGCTCATGACAATCGTCGACGAGGCATCGCCAGCACCACCAACGGCCTTGTCAGCGGCGTGGGCCATGAGTGAGGCATCCTCAAGACCTCCCTTGCCAGTGACGGCGTTGGCACATCCTGAGTTGATGAGGACACTTCGGATGCCCTTGTTGGCCTTCTTCTTCAACAAGTCCCTGCTGAAGGTAACCGGCGCGGCCTGGAACTTGTTCTTGGTGAAGACAGCCGCCGCAGCACAGGGACGGTCTGAGCTCAGAAGAGCGAGATCAGGCTTCGTCTTGTTCGAAGGCTTGACTCCAACCAAGATACCAGAAGCCTGGAAGCCCTGGGGATATGTGCCCTCCGTCGGGATGTACTTCTTCTTTGCCGCCGGAATGCTCTCAGCGGAGACCGAGTAGCACCGCACAAACTGAGCCAAGTGGCCGGGAAACCTCTTGACGGGCTGCGACATCCTGTCGATTGGGAGCGCCCAAGTGATGCGACAAAACGTAGGATATGTGCGGACTAAGCTCGAGAGCCAATGGCTCAGGATTCGGGCTGTAGAGGTTCTGGTCCCGTGTGAGATGTTCGTCGGAAGAAAGAGTTGTTAGTCACGAAAGAGACGAGAGATTTGGGTGAGTGCGATAACGGCAGTCACCTAAAAATTTCGGCAGGGGTGTCACAGCGCTGTTACGCAAAAGGCGCATTGGGACCCAGGACTGAGTCCTGATCCTAGCCATGGACCCTGAAGCTGTGGTCCAAGTCGGAGGGCCGAGTCAACATGACCGAAGCTTCTGATTAATCTTACATGCGGCCTTTCATTTGACTCCCTGCTTGAGATGCGAGGAAGTAGAAGGGAGATGACTCCTTCTCAATGACACAGGAATTTGGAGCTCTCAGAAAGGAGTTGACGGGAGTCTTGCACATGGCTCATGCAGGTGCGCTGCGCTGGACTTGAAGCGCTGAAGTCGGATGGCGGGGAGCGGACCCACTCAAGCTTATCGCACCTGTCGCGGTGAGCTTATCGCTCTGCGCAGACAGAAAAAATTCTAGAATCTTGCGTCTCGGTCCCTCCAGCTTCTCGTGTCGCGCGACCAGTTCAATTCAACACCCATCTACACCGAACGAGTCCCTGTCGCCCACAAATCAGTCACAATGCCGCCAAGCAAGACGAAGACGATCAAGAACAAGCACGCCCAGAGGGGTTCCGGTATCAAAAATTCCAAGGAAGCCTCCAGGAGCGGCCCTCCCGATGGCATCGTTAGGAAATCGAAGGACACCCCGAAGGGGACGAAGCCGCTGAAGGGTAGCAAGAAGTCTGGCCTCGAGGCCCTCTTGAAGAAGCGCAAGAAGAAGGTCTACACGGAGAAGGAGCTCGACATTCCCAAGCTCAACACGATCGTCCCCGCGGGCGTGCAGAAGCCGAAGGGCAAGAAGAAGGGCAAGGTCTTCGTCGATGACAGGGTAAGGCACCTTGTGGCGCGATGACATCGGTGTACAACATTTGCTAACGAAAGGCGAACAGGAGAGCATGAACACCATCCTCGCCATGGTTCAGGCCGAGAAGGAGGGTCAGATCGAGTCCAAGATGATGAAGGCGAGACAGATGGAGGAGATCCGCGAAGCCCGCAGGGTAGAGGCCGAGAAGAAGGAGGCGGAAAAGAAGTCGAAGCTGGAGGACACCAAGGAGTCCCTGCGCAAGAAGCGCAAGCGCAATGCCAACACCGAGAACGACAACAACATCAACGACATCGCCGTCGCCGGGTCCAAGGCCATCAAGCCCAAGAAGAAGAAGAGCGTGTCGTTCGCGTAAATGCATCCGTCGGACATCTTGCCTCTACATTAGTATCGGTCTTATTTTGCATCATGGGTGGCGTTCAGGAGTGCCGAAAACAAAAAGAACAGACTGGACTGGGATGTGCGGCAGGGGACTTTCAACCCTTTTGCGAGTTTTGGTGGCGTTCAGAGCAGATACCACGGCGGATCTTGCCCTTCCGCATCAGCTTAATGCATTACCTAGGGCATTCTTCATCACGTCGGGTGGCCAACTGGTGATGTACATCTTTCTTTATGGCGAGTCCATCTATTTGTCTTATTCCCTGTCTATAGCTCTGTATAATCTCCAGACACGTCTAAATGAAAGGGAAATGGCTAAATCTATACTCTGTTTTGACGTTCTATCCAACCCTACTACTCCCGGACCTTGATCTCCATTCTGTGTTTTGCCGCATCAAAGTGGTACTCTGCGCTGCCATTGGTTACGGGAATTCCGTTCGTCTTGGGAGGCAATGCGTTATGATCCACGTTGAAAGCCATGTGGTTGAAGAAGTTTGTGACCGGCTTGGCGTGCCATCTTCCACCACCCGGCTCAAACCAGCAAAGGTGGCCGCCGAGAGAGGTCGTGCACAGAACCGTGTAGGGGTTCTTTTGGAACTCTTCGTAAGGAATGGCCTCTTCCACTGCAATCTGTCGGGTCTGTGAGCATGATATCATGATTTGGCGCATGGCGGGAACACTTACCGGATCGTCCTTGGCGTGAAGAGCGAGGAAGGGAACCCTGATGGCCAAGACGGCATCGCAAGACGAGGCATCTCTGTAGTATGCTGACTCCGTTGGGTAACCCCAGCTGATGCACCTGCGGCAGTCAGTAAAGAGTTGGCTTTTCACTAAGTTTTGACACATACTGGACTTCTCTGTCGAATTCATCGAGGTACGTGACGTTGTTGAGACGCTCGAGATCTAGCTTGGTGTACTTTTCCATCGCCTCTCTGTGGCCGTTGATGAGTTGCTTCATGCTCTCTGCATCCATGTGTTAGTTGGATGTTGAGTTGTTTAAACCAAAATATGGAGAACTTACGGCCCATAACTCTCTGGTAAACCTCCCTTCCAATGAGTGTTCTCTTCAGTGCCTTATTGGCGACCTCCAAGTTGAAGGGGTTGGAGCAAACGATAGCAGCCGTCAACAGACAGTTGGTACCCTCCTCACCGCAGTACTATTAAAGTCAGTATGAGATATACACAAAAAGCAGTTAACAGCTCCCACTCACGTTTGTCAACATGTTTGCGCCAAGGGAGAAGCCCAGACCAAACAGGGGCCTGTTGGGGAACTTTTCTCTCAACCACTTGACCGTCTGATTTCAACATCGTGTTAGTCACTTCTCACTAGCAAACCCTGACGAGCAACCGACCTGTCTGAAATCCCAAGTTGCCCTTGCGTTGTACAACGTGCCGCTGGTAAACTTGCTCTTAGCGCAACCTCGTGAGTTGACAACGCAGATGTCCCATTCCCCAGACTCGACAAGCGGTGCAATCGCATGTCGCAGGTAGATCTCATGAGATCCACCAGAAAGACCGTGAAGCACGACCAGCTGCGGCCTCTCGTCGTCTGAAGGCAGCGCCGCGAGCTCATCGTCCTTGAAGTAGACCGTTCGGGGCGGGAGAGTCTCGTCCGTCTCCTCGAAAGGCTTCGTCACAAAGTCAACCGCAAATGTACCCTCAACAGCCTTGGAGTCGGCGTCGAACACATGGCGCTTGTAGTAGATAGGGGGGCCGTGTTGCTTCGTCGCCGTCCACATCGTTTGCACGTGGCCATTGAACAGGAGCGGGTTCATCTGGCACGGCGGTATGACCTTTTCGCAGACCTTGAGAATATCGGTCTTGGAGCCATTCTTCTCTTTCAGCGACAGAGGTGCCGGCGAATGCGTGAAGTTGATCTTGGCTCGACCTAGCCACTCCATGATTCGGAGATTTCGGGAGAGTGACGCTCGAGACAGATTGGCTTAAGTAGGAACGGTGAGTGGCGGGAGTGGCGCCTCTAGGTTGTTTTTGAAGAGTTGGGGTCAGGTAAGACAAGCGCTCAAAAAGTCACAGAGTGATCAAAATGCAACCTTTCCTCAGAAAACGGGACGAAGTTGAGAGCTATCACGTTAAAATTATATATGGCCATGTGAAAATGGAGGATAGAGACACAAGTCATGACGGTGGAGCCCCCAAGGGGCCCCCAAAATGCCCCCGTAGCTTGTTTGATACCGCTGGGACAAACACCAACGGCGGCAGAAAGGCAAGCGGACGACTTGTCTTCTTTTGGTGCAGCACCGAGGCTCACTCCAATGAGGTAGATCGGCACCGGGTTCACCGATCGCCCGTCCTGCAGAGAAGGAATTCGGTCCTATGCGAGCATATGTACGAGTCCCGAGAGCGTGGACAAGAAAAACTAGCAGTTGAGCAGCCCAAAATACAGAGGCAGCTCGAGTTAAGCCGAGGCACAGGCAGGTAGCCACCCAATTAGAGTGGGCTGTTGAGTCGGACATTTAACTCATTCTTGGCCGACTACGTAGCTTCAGGAGGCGAGCACTCCTAGTGTTCTCTTCTCGGCCAGTCGAGGCGATGGGTTCAAGACCATCAGTTTCAGTTACGGGCTTCTCGCCCGCTTCCATGAAAATGAGAATCGTCGAATGAAAAGAAGACTGGTACTGCGTAGGTTCTGGCAACAATGTGTTCCAGCCAGGCGAGACGGGACCAACCCAAAGCCGCCTCGAATGTCATGGGTTCGGTGTCCCGTGCATCGGTCGATGACCCGACTACCTAAGGTAGGTAGTCTCGTCTAAGTGGATCCCCTTCCCATGCACGTGTAATTATGTAAGGCATGCAGGGGCTCTTGGGCATCTCCCGCCAGTGGTTCCTGACGTGAGCCTCGCGACCTGCAGGTGCGGCTATTGGACAGCAACCGCGTCGCAACAATCAGCCCAGTTTTTGTCGCAGTCGATTCAACAAGGCGGCCATCGTGACGATTTGTAGCGACGTCTGCGCCTGCGCTCCCTATGCAGTCCCAAAGATGACCTACCGGGGCTCCTTGCCTTCGGGGCAAGCCTTTAATGGCCAGCAGCACCTACCTCAGACATACCACGATCCATACGGCAATGGCAACCCTAACGGCCAGAACCAAACCTTCCAGAATGTCTCCTATGGCAATCTCGGACAGGCGCAACCTTCCCATGGCAACTTCCATCAATCGCCCGTTCCTTCTCCCATCGTACCTCCCGCGCCCGCGCCGATGAACATGCAGCCAAACGGCTACGGCCACTATCCTCCTGCCTACGGCGGCAACTTCCCGCAGCAGCAGCAGCAACCGCACCAGCCGCAGCCGCAGCAGCACTATCCCCAACATCAAAGCCAACAGTCCTTTGCCCACAGCAATGTGATGAACTCCCCCTTTGTGTCTCCCCATGTACCTCACGCTGCTTTTCCTCCCCAGAAAACTCAAGCAGTGCGATCGCCCGCCCTCGTTACAGCACCCGTGCCGACCCCAACAGCGCCGACCTTCGCCGAGTACCAGCCGCACACGCCGCAACAGCCGCAACATCAAGCCCAATACCAGCAACACTTTCAGCAACCGGTCCAGCCGCAGCCTCGTCATCAGGTTCAGCAACAGCCGCAGCACGTACAACCGCAGGCGACGCAGTATGCCCAGTTCTCTCCGCCATCAATGGGTCACAACCAGAGTGTCCCCGTTCTAAATCAAGCCTTCGCGGAACCCTCGCAAGTACAACCGAGTCCAGAGCCCAACCACGCGAACTCTCCCGTCGTCCAACCTGCCAGGTCCCCCAGTCTGGCGAGGAAGTCGCCTGCCATATCGTCTATGAATTCCCCGGCGGTGTCATCGCGGGGTTCCCCGGCACTGTCCACAAAAGCGAGATCCTACGATACCACCGCGATCCTCATACACGTTGCCGAGGAATGCTTCGAGAAAGCTCACCGCGGCGTGCAAAAGGTCGCTGCGTCGTTAGCGGAGGAGCAGGTGCGCGAATACCAAAAGCTGATCACTACCGGACTCGCCTGCCTTGAGGCGGCTTTCCAGAGCAACCGTCTATCGCCGAGACAAGAGGCCCGGGCACGGTTGAGATATGCCTCCATTCTCTGCGAGGAGACTGAGAACCTCCAAGAGGCCGAGACGGCGCTCAGCAAGGGTATTACTATCTGCGAGAAGGTTGGTTCCACACAGCTCCGCCGTGCTGATCACCGTACTGATATACCCCTAGCATAGATACGCTGACCTGAAGTACTGCATGCAATACCTGCTGCTAAAGGTACTTTTTCAACGAAATCAAAAGGCGGCCTTCATTGCCATTGACAGAAACATATCCGACTCTCAGACGTGCGTCGCTCCCGTGATAGTGAGAACATGGACGTGCTGACTCATGGAACAGTTTCAAGCACCATCATTGGGTCTATGCCTTCCGCTTGCTGAAGGCTACATTCCATGTGCATGCTGGTACTCCTCCTGATGCCCCATTGCTGGAAAATCTTCGCTCTCTTGCGATAATGGCAATTGAGCGTCACGATAGCGCAATGGTAGTGTTTGCCTCTCTCCTCGAAGGTCTCGCACTGCTTCGGGTGATTCGGTTTGATACGATTGAGCGTGTGCAAACCTGCCTTGCTCAGGTATCCAAGTATCAATTCGACCCGATTGTTCGAATCCCGCAGCTAGAAATCTTGACATTGCTTCTCGATCTAGCCTGCAGCATGCACCAAAAGACGCCGGATATCTTGATACACAAGCTGAAGTCTCTTCAAGCGAAGTTGGACGACAACATGAGTTCTTCGACATGGAGCGACCTGAATCCTGAGATTCTGATCCCGATCAACAAACATTCGGCACCAGCCGCCATCCTGAGCGACGACACGAGCGCTATTCTCAGAGCAGGGTCATCGAGACACGACTACGTGGTGATGACGTTCATGAATAGACTTGAGATTGTCGTTTTGACGTAAGTTTCCCAGAGCTGTTTGCATAGGTGCAGTGCTAATGCCATG